ACACAATATTACAATGTACAATTGCACAAAAGGCTGCAAACGAACAGCGTGCATCTGAAGTGTCTCTGAAGGAAATAATGCATTATTTATCGGCTTTAAGATATCGGCCAAATTTTCTTATCAGGCCGATACCGATAACAGAAAAAATGAGCATTTATCGGCCGATACCGATAAAGTGGCCGATATATCGTGCATCCCTAATTTATATATAATATAAATATATATTTATGTATGTATGTATGTATGTATATATATATATATATATATTCCATCAACACCAGCTTGTGATGTTGTTAGTTGCTGGCCTACACGAAAAATACTCTGAACTCATGCCGAGTTAATTAATAAATTAAGTCATTTTATTTTCATTTAGCAGCAAAATGATTTTTATCTCAACAACATCAGAATCTGGTGACAGGAGATGCGGTTTAGATGGATGTTAATACCAGGTGCAGGTGGTAATCTGTCTCAACTGACAATGTTTGATGGATGTAAATATTGGGAATAAATGTGCGGAGGCACAGGGGAACAGTAAGGCTCTTACACGTTGCTCCAGGAGCCAGGGTGATATTCTTCGGAGAATGAACTTCCTTCTTCTCAGGAGAAGCTGCCCGCTCGCTGTCCTTCTTCCTTCTTTTATAAGGGACGAACAGTCTGACGGGGCCCGTCTGTAGGGCACCAGAATCCACAATTAGTCTCTAGAGCGATATGACATCACAACTGAGACTTCAGCCATTACAAATTACCATAGAGATGTCCTCTCCTTCGAAAGGCCCGTCCTTCGTACACTGGAGAAGAAACAGGCAAAGAAAGAGGAGTTTTGCTACAGTATGTAAGCTAAATGAAATTAGCAAGATTTTTTTCCATTTAAAACAGATTCACATGCAACATACTTATGCTGTATATTTATTTGCATAATTGCATAATATTAATATTATATTTATTAAATCTATATGACTATTATTTGAGCTGTATGTGTGTGTGCATATTCTGTTATGATTATGTGTGTGTGTGTGTGTGTTTGTTAGCACTTGTACAGCTATCTTTGTGAGGGCCTGTTTGAGGGTCAGGACTTGGTGTTAGGGGTCAGGTTATAATTGGGTAAAGGGTAGGTTTAAGGTAAGGGTTTGGTTGAGGCACTTAGTTCTGATGGGTAGGGTTAGGGTAAGGAGCTAGAGATTGCATTGTGTCAATGAATGTCCTCGCAAAGATAGCTATACAGAGTTGTGTGTGTGTGTTTGTGGTTTGTGTGTGTGTGTGTGTGTTTGGGTCTGTGTGTGAATGTGTGTTTGTGGTTTGTGTGTGTGTGTGTGTGTGTGTGTGTGAGTCTGTGTTTGTTTGTGTGTGTGTGTTTGTGGTTTGTGTGTGTTTGGGTCTGTGTGTGAATGTGTGTTTGGGTCTGTGTGTGAATGTGTGTTTGTGTGTTTGTGGTTTGTGTGTGTGTGTGTGTGTGTTTGTGGTGTGTGTTTGTGGTGTGTGTGTGTGTTTGTGGTTTGTGTGTGTGTGTGTGTTTGGGTCTGTGTGTCGGCGCCTGGTCGGGAAATGTCACGCCCCTTACCATAGCCACATGCTAGCTTCAGTATAGATATTGCATCAAAATCAAATCAATTTGAGCGCGATTTAAACCCACTCTTATGATTGTAAACACACTAAGTTCGTCTGCCTTGGGAAAGCTAGCGTGTCTCCGACATAGTGATAACACTCGTTGCCTTCTCTAGTGCAGCTCAACCAGGTCTCGTCCCATCCGTAGATCTTTGTGACATCACAAATTCCGGAAAATATGCGTTGTAGTCCAAATGAGACTTTCGTGATTTCTGTTAAATAAAATATCTCCTTTTGAAATGGACTTTGAGCTTTGTAACTTTTTTTTGCTCAAACAGCAACATTACAGACTAACTAAAGTTGAAAAAGTGAAAAAGCATAAACATTACAGACTAACTAAAGTCGAAAAAGTGAAAAAGCATAATAGGACCACTTTACGTCTAGTTTTACAGCTCCTAACAGTCCAGTTTACCAGGTGTCATAGGTGTTGCGGTGCCTTTCAGCCCTGTGGCGTCCACGATGCTCCCATCCGTGTGCACCACGATCAGCGTGGCCTTCTGGGTACTCAGACCGTCTCCGATCTGAAGCGTAGTTCTGCCCGTCTACATGAATCAGTTAAGACATATTAAATCTGATGTTTTTATTTTGATCCAAAACATATCTGTTCTAACATTTATTTCACATTAACTAAAAATAAATGGTATTACCGTGATTATTTTGGACTAAATCTAAAACTATAAAACTATTTTTGTTAACTTAAATAAAATAAACCCTACCTGAAATTAAATAAAATATAATAACATTTTATTTTACTTCAGCTAGTTGAAGAGAAAACCTTTCTCATTTTCATTTAGTTTAACTTGACGTACTAAAATGACTACAGAAATCAATAACAACTATAATAAAGTATATATTGTATAAATAATTATATTAATACAATTATATATATATATATAATACAATTATATTAAAAAAACTAAAACTAATAAAAATGACACAAAAATACTAAAACTTTAACTAAACTTAATGAACTTATTGAAAAAAAGCTCATTCAAAATACTGATAAAAACTATAGTAGTATCTAAATGATACTAAAATAATCTAAATGATAACTAAAATAAATGATACTAAAATGTTAACTAAAATATAGTTTTTGTTTGCATAATATATGTGTATGTACTGTGTATATTTATTATGTATATATAAAAGCACACACATACAGTATATATTTTGAAAATATTTACATGTATATATTTATATTAATATAATTTATATCATGTATAAATATATTTAATATATAAACTAAACATATTTTTCTTAAATATATATACATGCATGTGTGTGTATTTATATATACATAATAAATATACACAGTACATACACATATATTATGTAAACAAAAGCTTTTTTTATTTTGGATGCGATTAATCGTTTGACAGCACTAATAACATGTAAGATGGTTTTATCATTATATATGAATATAGTTACCATACAGTGCAATGGTTTTGGTTTATGTTTATTTAGGTTCAATTAAAAAACCTTCTAATGGTAAAAAGCAAGCAAATAATTAAATAAATAAATAATTCAGCCAGAAGAGAACTACAAAAATATAAAATGCATCATTTTGCAAAGTTATTTAACATTATTTAAAATGAACATTATTGAATACTTCTTCATTTTACATTTTTTTGACATTAATTATAACAGAAGTTATCCAAATAAAACATTTTTGGACATGCAAGATGGTTTTATCATGGTATAGGAAAATATAGTAATCATACAGTACCACAGTTTTGGTTTCTATCGAAGTACCATGGTATTGTCATCTGACTGTAACATGCTACTGCCACTATTTCGTGATTTTATTTACAAATAAATTCTAGGGTTCCTTCCATCTTAGTATTTTGCAAAATAATGTATCCTGCATAAAGACAAGCATAATTATACTGTCAACTTCAAGCCTTTTTAACTTTAAATCATGCATAAGGTTTCGAGTGTTTTATCTTACGAGCACGTGTTCAGGGATGGACGCTGCTGTGGCGACTGTAGATGTGAACACAGATTCATCTGAACTCTGGACATCCCCAACCGTGACGGCTGTCACCTCTGCAAAAAAACACAAACTTTATATGCCTTTGGGTAGACGACAATGTTCTTGGTGTTTGTGCACGACGTACTGTACTTGAATAATTAAGATTTAATCATAAAAATAAGAAACAGAGCAATTCCAATAGGGTCCTCACACCAACAGTGCTCGGGCCCTAATTAATAATTAATAATAATTTTTTTTTTTTTTTTGAAAGAAGTCTTTTTGGATGTATTTATTAAATACAAAAATACAGTAAAAACAGTAATGATATAAAATATTATTACAAATTAAAATAACTGTTTTCTATCTGAATATATTGTAAAATGTAATTTATTCTTGTGATGCAAAGCTGTATTTTCACATGATCTTCAGAAATCATTTTAATATGCTGATTTGCTGCTC